AAAAACAATCTAAAATGGTGAGTAAATATTGATAAATTGAAGATAAATTTAGAGCAGCCCTATTAAAAGCTTAAAAACAGTTATGTCTGACTTGTATGTTATTACATGTCGTGTGTGTATTCCTTGCAGTGTTTTTGGTGCTTCAATATCTTTCAAGTTGATTCCATTGGTTGTGAACCATATAAGTTTGTAGGCTGAATTCCTCCAAAGCCAGGTGGCAATTTGTCATTGAAACCTGCTGGCCGGATGCCTTTTTCTTGGAGATCATCTTGACCACCCAAACAAACTTGTGAGGGAGATTCGTCTGATAAAAACAGCTTCAACTATTATTAAAACGATAGCATTAATTAGTCAATTCACTTTGGAAGCAGATTCCTCAGACAAAATCCTTAAGAAAGATATCAAGTGTATTATATAGTCATTGTCCACCATGTGTGGACCAGGAATCAAAACCTTCTGCAACAATGATAACACAACTTTCACAAATTCTACACAAAAATGGGAAATTAATCACATTATGTCCGGTAGATATTGTATAAAGGCCACTATCCTAAAGTAACGAGCAATAATATGTATTTTCCCTTTAACTTGTTAACGATAACACTCACTTCTATACTCAAAAAGGATATATATATATATATATATATATATATATATATATATATATATATATATATATATATATATATATATATATATATATATATATAGAAGTAGGTTCAAATAAAAACAACAATTATTGTGAGAACGTGAGAACAATTTTCAGCCAATCGTTTTATTTAATTAATCAAATAAATTAAATATTAATAAAAGGGCACTTTAGGTATTTTCTTTGGTCATTAATTACTAAATTAAATTACAGCTAATTTTTTATGGTAACCCTGTATTTATAGTTTATAGTATATGTTTTAGTAAACCCCTAATCACAAGATTGAAGCCGACGACTTCTTACCCATTGCCGTCTCTGGAACTATGCCTCAATTTCCATGAACATCATGTTGTAAATCATTTATTAATTACTTATTAGATTTCAATCACATCTTCTTCACCATCAAACCTGCAAAACTGTATGTAAGGGGGAAGTTATTGTTAATAATTTGTTTTTTACCCACACTATATCATCGATTTGACAGGAGAGGCCACAGAAGACACACATGACATAGGACGATTGAAACCTATTGTTATTGTTTTCTTTGCACAAATAACTGAAAACAATTCCCTATTCTTCAGGAAAGGTAAGGGTTCTGCACTTCTGCTTAACTTCATGACAAAATGAGTGATTTTTTTAGTAAGCACCAAGTGTTTGATCTATTGCCACAAATAACTGAAATCGTTTTTCTCAACGAACTTGATTTTCTGAAATAGTTTTGTTCGTAAAATTGATTTTCTGAAATCGTTTTGTTCATGAAATAAATGGCATGTGTTTGTGTGTTCTTCATCTAATTCAAATTACATAGATAGTTGTTTTTCTTACTAAAATCGGTTTTTTATTGAATTTTTTTTGTAATTGAAATGTTAGTAGATGTATGACTATTTTTCTTCCTGTAGAGAGAATTATTTATTGCATTTGTTTGGTTAATTGAATTTATAAAGTTAAGAATACATAATATTGCAATTCTTGTTTTTGATTGCAAAGCTTTTTTCGTCACTACGATAGTAAGTACAGATCAAGAATACCTTTTCCACTGTGTTTTTATATAATTTAAGGCTAATAAAAAAACATGTATTTTTTCGTTATATTTTCTTTTTCTTGGTCTAGTGCACGCTCGTTCTTAAGAGACTTACTTCTTGATTAAACATGACTTTATAATTTAAGATTCACTTCTTGATTAAAGATCACTTGATTATGAATCTTAGTGACCTAACATCTTCTGCTTATTATTATTTTATATATATTTTTAAAGGAATAACTCATGTACATAAGAAATTGAATAATGATTTTCTTATACATTTAAAAATATATGGTAAAGTGAATGAGATTGAATCTCATTTTATTTATTCTTTTAAGAATTTATTTGACAACTTTTTATTTTGTTAAAAATATATTGTAAAAGGAATGAAATTGAATTTCATTTGTTATTCATGTTTGCATATTCTATTATGGATATTGATATTTATTATATATATTTTTTGTTTTATAGTTATTCTATTATGAATTTATATATACAAACTCTTGCTTTATTATTATTCTGTTATGAATTTATATATACAAACTTTTGTTTTATTGTTATTCTATTATGAATTTATATATACAAAATATTGTTTTACTGATATTCTATCATGAATTTATATATACAAACTCTTGTTTTATTGTTATTCTGCTATGAATTTTTATATACGTGTTACTGTTTATGATTTTTTTGTGTACCTACAGCTTAAAAAAGCTCAACGAAAGAAACATAATCAAAGACCAAGAAGAAATATACTCAACACCAAGATCATTGAGATAGAAGAAATTAGTTGAATACATAGAAATTATATCAATTTATTGTCTTGTATGCTATTATTTATTTATTTATTTTTGTATAAACTCATCTTTCTATATACGATATTAGTTCATTATGACTTATATATATAAATGTATGCTTATCTCATAATTCAATAAAGAATGTTATATATTATAAATATGAATGAGTTTTTATGTTTATATATTCTGTTATGATTTTGGATTGTATGAATTTATATGTATTCTATTATGAATATGCATTGTTAATTGGTATTTACCTAAAGTATTATATATTCTACAATGAATACAAGATTTAAAACGTTAGTAAATTAAAATTTTGAAATCTAAAAAATCTGAAATTATGAATTTCAAAAATTTAAGAATCCCACAAATTTCTCTTATTTCCATAATTATCTTAAAATACAATTACCACTTTACCCCTACATATTTATTAATACAATTTTGAATAATATTTTTATTAATAACCAAAAATAACTTAATTAAAGAAAATGATTGGCTAAGAATCGTTCTCAAGTTCTCACTTTATTTAGAGTTTTTATTTGAACCATCCCCTATATATATATATATATATATATATATATATATATATATATATATATATATATATATAAAAGTTTATTTGAGACTATGTTAGTTTTGTCGGACATGGGGATACGATCCTAGTCATTTATCATCGAAATTAAAAAATAAAAATAAAATGAAAAATAAAAGGAAAATCCAAAATTTCGTTTTTTTTAATATTATTTTCATCATTTAATTAATCCAAAAAAATATAAAAAACTAAATAATAAATAAAAATAAACAAAAACAATTACCGTCTTTTTAATATATGTAAAATATTCTTATAGAATATCACACTGTAAATATTCTAATAAAACTATTAGAATTTTATAATATTTTAATATTCTACTAGAGTTGTTAGATATATTAAAAAAATTTAATATTCTACTAGAATTGTTAAAATATTCTATTAGAATTGTTTGAATATTTATAGTCTAATAATCTAATTGAATATTGAAATATTCTAAGGATTTTGTTTTGATATTTATAGTGTAATATTCTATTAGAATATTTCATGTGTATTTAAAGAAAATTGTAATTTTTTTTTGGATTAATTAAATGACAAAAATAATATTTTAAAAAAATTAAAATTTTAATTTACTTTGCATTTTAGAAATATATTCTTTTGATCTCTAAGATGTGTTGCTAGGATCGCATCCCCATATCTCACAAAATTAGTATGGTCTCAAATTAATCTAACCATATATATATATATATATATATATATATATATATATATATATATATATAGATATAAAAGTTCATTTGAGATCATGTTTTCTTTGTGAAATATGTGAGAATAGGGACGTTGTTACATCGATTTCCCGGTTAGTATTTTAAATCATTTAATTTGGCATTTATAAGGTTTTGTGAATTTCACTGAGTAGCTGCGTGACGGTTTAGGCCTTAGGGAGTTTCGGCATGACGTTTTAGGGAGTCTCAACGTGACCTTCTCGCGACGCGGCCTTTAATGAGGTTTGCGGGACGATGGGTCTGTTGGGCCTAACCCTAAAGGCCTTGACATCTGGACCTATTTAATGACTCAAACCCCTAGGGTTTCGTAATTTACTCAACCTCCATCTCAGAGAGACTCTCTCATGCAAACCCTAACCTCTTCTTGAGCTTTTGGTGTGATTTCTTCCTTTGGTGTAGCTTGTAGCTTGGAGGTGCTTTTGATTACAAGGAGTTGATTGTTTAAGTGAGATCCAACAAGCTTCAGCCTTTCCACCTTGCTTAGGACTTTTGTGATTATTCAAGTCTCTTGCTTTATGTTTCATGTATGCTGGATCTAGGATTATAGCTTGGTTTTGGTCCCTTTGAGTTGTTTTGGTTGGAGTTTGGAAAGCCTAAAGGTTGAGTATCAAGGCTTCTGGACCTTTTGAGACCGGGTACAAGGGTTGTTGTCTTGCATGTGATGCCATGCAAGGTCATGGGTTCATTTTTGTTCTCTTTTGACTTAGGTTTATAGATCTATGTGTTTAGGGTATTCAAATGGATAAAGGTTGGAACATTATCCATTAAGACAAGGTTTTAATGAGTTCTGGAAGGTTAGAACTTGGGTCTTGAAGGATTAAGACCTTAATGAAAATGTGGTTGTTAAACTGAGTTTAGCGGCACGACGAGCTTAGAACACACAAAATTATAAACATCATGACCAGGACCGTATCAGAGGATAGGGCAGCATGGGCGATAGCCCAGGGCCTCCAAATTTTTCGGGCCCATTTTTATATATCTACTTATATTATTTTAGAAATAAAAAACTTTTGGTATTAAGTCGTCCCAAGTAGAGGCAAAAAATTGCCTCATTCTTTTATTTTGCATGGGGCCTCAAATAAGCTTGAGTCAGTCCTGATCACTAGCAATAGATTCAAATTTTCAAAAGCAACAATAAACGAACATTAAAACTTTAGCTTCAAATAAAATCATGAAACTCTTTTATCAATACTATAACAGATTTCAAATATAGACAAAAATGCCGCTTAAACAAGCTCCCATGCCTCATTGAGTCATTTCAAAAGAATTGAGGGGCTTTTCACTCATAAATACAACATATGTATGAGGCCATAAATATATTATTAAAGAGGTAATACAAAATCACATAATCTTTGATCCATAACTTGAGTTTGGCATATGTGTTGAGTCATTGAGATGAAAAACTAAAACTAATATGCACATGGATCTCACTCATCTTTGATCACTATCTTCATATGTTTCCAGGTATGCTTCTTCATCCTGCATCAACACCACACCATTTTAGACAACATGCATAAATTCATTTAAAAATGCAAGAAATAACAATGTACTTTCATTCATTTTTTTATTATAGCATCACACTTTCATCTCTTTCTATTGTACTTTTAAGAATCCATCCAATTCAATCATAGTTCATCCAAATACAAAATAAATTTCATTGATATAATTGGATAGATTTTTCAAAGTATAATGTCTAAATAAGAAAAGAAAATTTGAAGTATATAATGCTATAACTAGGCAGATTTCTCTAACTACAATGTGTTAACAAGAAAAAAACACTAGAAGTATAATGTTGTAATAGAAAGAAATGAAAGTAGGATTCTACAATAAACAAATAAACAAAAAGTAATTTTTTATTTCTTTCTTTAATCCCCTTAGATAAGCCAAAAAAAAACATCAAGCACAAAAGTGGTTTCATTAATCATGATTACCTCTGCCATTCCACCATAATCATCGGAATCAGATTCCGAATCCGAATCCAAATCATCTTCTATCCTCGATCTCAACGTCTCTTCATCAATCTCATCAATAATCTTCATATCCTCCTGCATAATCCAAATTATCGAATAATTCATACACATTTATTTACCAAAATATCCTCATACACCATCAAAAACAAAGTTAGAGAATTCGAGTAATCATACAAGTTCCCCTTTCAGCTTCTCAATTCTTTCCAACAACTCCACAATATGATGCTTTAACGCCTGTACATATCCAAAATTTTAAAACCAATTACGAGAACCACAACTTTCAAAAAACCATCACATTTACCAAAATACCCTTACCTCGCGTCTTTGCAGTTCAATTGCACGAGCTAAAGCTTGCCTTCTAGTCAAAAGATTCTTGGGTCTGATTGCTTTTGGGCGCTCATAATTCTTTCCACGATAAACAATAATTGCATACCCTTTTGTGGTTTTATCTACAGACACCAAAACTCCACCACTTTCTGCCTCAAGAGAAATGGCCACATGTTTCACTTGTGCAAAGCTTTTCCTCTCCACCATTATCTTCACTACCTCTCTGTACTTCCAATGTAGATGCATATTTTCAATTGTGCCATCAAATACACCCCGTCTCCCTACAAGAATAAACTGATTTAAAAAATTTTAATATAATTTTGGAGGCAAAGATGTATTTAGTATTTTACCTAATTCCAAGTAGGGTTTCATACTAAGCCCTATCTTACGAAGTGAAAACCTCTCCTCATCTGTTAATGTTTCCAAATCTGTAGGAAGTTGTGATGGCTGTAGATATTCTTGAACTTTTGCTAATGCCTTTTCAGCCTTTTTCATCTTTCCTTTCGCCTGCAATCACATAAAGAAGATCAGGATGTTCATGTGAAATGACCAAAATACCCTTGGTCCATGTAACCCATAACAATATAGGAATGTTTTGTATAACTTACAAGAGCTAGCTTCTTTTCAAGCAATCTGACAAGAGAAGCGTGTCTGGCAACCGCTGAATCCCTCCTCATTTTCTCAATCTCCTCCCCGCTCCGCTCACTTCCCCACCGTGAGGTGGCGGCCATGGTTTCCGCAAGGGTCCCGGCAACTAACGGGCCTTTGACCGAGTTTTTATGAGTCAAGTCAATGAAAGTCAAAGCCTTTTCCCGTGCTTTGTCTTCATCCTCTTGTCTATTAGTTCTTATGTCTTGTGCTTCGATCAATGTCTTTGTCACATTAGGGGGTAAAAAGTCGTTACCCCTGTAAAAGACGATATAGTCCTTGTTTCTAGAGACTAGAGTTCCTCCTGTCAGTATCTGGATCAAACAAGCCAATAAGGGCATTTTAGTAATTTTTAACTAGAGAATGCAAAGAAAGAAATGTTTCTATTATGAGAAAAATGCAAGAAATAGCAATGTAGTTTCTAATTTAACTTTATTATAGCATTGTACTTTCTTTTTTCCTTATTACAGCATTGTACTTTCAAATTATTCCTTATTAGAGCATGGTACTTTATAAAATTTACAAATAATAGTAATGAGTTTTGAATTATGATTACGTGACACAAGTTAACATTCTTTATGCAATTCATTGTCCACATAGGATAAATACATGCTAACTTGTGCCATGTCATCCTAACTCAAATCCTGTTGCGAAAATGGTTAAATTTCCTAAAGTTCCATGCTCAAATATAAAATAATTTGAAAGTACAATATTATAATAAGGAAAAAAGAAGCCACAATGGTATTAGAAAGAAAAAATTAAAAACTACATTGCTATTTCTAGCATTTTTCCCTTCCAATATCTTCTAACCTTGAGCTCTTCTGCCATTCTTTCATTACAAGTGTTGTGCACACCACGTTTGATGGCTATCTTTGCAATGGCACTTTGTTCCCATAGCTTCGTCATTGCATCCGCAAGTCCTTGCAGATTTCTATTTCTTCCTATGTCAATCACGGGGGTATATTAGTCTTTTCACAAAAACTCCATTACAATGAAATGGAAGGATTAGTACATACCGAGTGCAAAATGTGGAGGCATTGTTCTTGCAGTCCTACGGAAAAAAGTCATCTCTTTATCTTGTAAACCAGGTTTTGTCCCATAGGGGAGAAGTCTAAAAGGACGTTTATACCCTTCAATGATAGAAGGAAGCAAATCTGCATCTACAGGTAGTGGCTCACGACCTGACCAATCCCTAAACCTTGGGCCCAATTCATCTAAAACAAGATTCATTTCTTTCAAATCAAGTAATTCTTCTTCAGAAAGATCTTTAATATATTGTTCGGGATAATTCATTGATGATTTATTTTCTGTATCCCTTGATTTTTGCTCTTTAAATGATTGTACGCATGGAAGCTTGTAAGCCATTCCCCTAAATAATACTACTGAACTGCCCGATCTAAATATCACTAAACCACCTGTTCTACTCTGTTAGAAAGCAAAAGACGATAGAATTGTATAACCTACATAGATTCGCACAAGAATTGAACAAATAAAAGGCTAATACTGAGTTACTGACCTCTAAACTTTCATGGATTCTTTTCATGTTCATGGCTGAAGGTCCTTTAAATTTCAACTTCACAACTTCATCCATTTTCCATTTTTCATGAATTGAGTCGACCAGTTCTTGTGTAACCCCAGCTGCACCAACTCTAAATCTTTCCACCATTCTCCCTGCTTTGTTCCTCAATCTCCTCAATTCGAATTCTGGTATCAATTTATCTGCCATTGGTGTATTGCTACTACTCTGAAACAAATCTTTTCCTCTCTCCCATGGTACCCTCTCGATACTTTGAATTTCGCCATCGTTATTTGAATGTCTTTCGTTATCTCTAACAATAACCCTTTCAAGATTTCGTTTCTGCACAGAAACCCCAGCAATGGTTGTGGTTCCACCATTGCTCTCAGAGTCGCTCAGCGACGACTCACTACCGGTTCTTGACACGGGGAAAACAAACCCGCCATCATTTTTACCTCCGTCAATATCTTTTCGGGAATTTCCATCTTCCACATCAATATTTTGTTTCTGGGGTTTAGTTTTTTGAACCCAAGGAGCAAGCTTTACGCTTTTGATTGAATCAGACCTAACTGAGTCGCCCACGAACGAGTTGCTATCGATGCTAGACTCTTCATCTTGTACGAATTTGGTTGAAAATTTCCGCTCTTGCTGTTGTCTTTCTTCGTTCTGCCATGGGAATTTCTCTCCCAATGAAGTGGGTTTCCGAGACCACTTTTCAAGAACTTGATCAGAAAAACTAGGTCTGGGTTTTCTTTGATTCTTCCTTTTGGGGTTAATTTGTTGGGTCTCTAGTTGAATTGTTTGATTACAACAAAAAAATTTGAAGTTTGAAGAGTGAGTTCGAGAGAGTGTACGAATAGTAGTAGTTGCAGTTGCAGTTGGTAAAATTAAATTAAGTGAAAATGGTGAAGATGTTGAAGAGGCCATTGCTGATGGATGAGATGAACACCTCATGAATTCTGTTTTTTAGGTACTTTACATCTTTAAATGTTCAAATGTACCCTATGCAGTAGATGTTGTACCATTAATTCAGTGATCATGATGAATCTTTTATGGGCTAGTTAACAAACTTATATGGGCTAAACCTTCTAAATGGGCCAACGGGCCAGTTATTCTGGGCTGTCATTCGAAAATCTACTCTTCTTCATTTAAAATGAAGTAATGAACCAACATATTATCAACAATAAAATCACAAATTTGTAAATTATAATTTAAAGAGGAAAATGCAAAAGTTTCATTTTTAAGGGACAATTAGTATGTAAAACGAATGCTTTGAAGGTGTATGCTCTTTATTTTATTTATTTACTTATTATCTTTTTTTAACGGAAATTCATCGAAAATTTAAAGTCTGAAATTTGAACTAAAAATTTAATTTTGGAGAGATTCATATCAATTGATCGCCACTAAACCACTTTTAAGAAACGATGCTCTTGAGAGTTGAGATTAATGTTTTTAAGTTCTATACTATAAATTTATGGTAAATAAAGGAAATGCTACTGAATAAAGATCCAATTACCAATAAAATTTATGTTTTAACTTTTAAGTAGTTTATTATATTAGTTAAAAATGATGTTAAAAAGTAAAAACAAATTTAACGAATAAAATGTTAATCATCTGAGTAGTAGTAGTAGTGATTTCTAATCTATCACTAATGTATGTGTAGAGGTGTACTGTTTGGGTTCGAAACTATGACCCAAATACATATTTGGATTTCATCTCAACTTTAGGAGACAACTAAACAAAACGTCATTTTACATTTGAATATATAAGATCGATTTTTTTTTTCTTTTTTGCATGTTAAGGTATGATTCGATAAATGTCTTATTATTAGTTGCACGGTGTAAATATAGGGTCGACCGATGGGTAGGACAAGTTGGGCGAAAGTTTCGAAGTTGTTTGGTGGTTTAATTGGAAAGACGCGTGTTATTCATAGAATCATCTTGTGTTCAAATCTTTGAAATAATAATTTATCAGGGTAATTATCTTTTTTTTTTGTTCATATTTAAGCAACTTCGTATTTTTTGTACACATTTGACCATCAAACTTGTCAAATGTGTTCAAATCTAGGTTTACTTTTAAAATTACATTCCATTCTGTTTTCTCACTTTAGCTCCTACTAATACATCTACATTTATTCCTAAAGGTCTTACTTTAAAGTCATAAAAATAAAACTTTACCCTCAACAAGGTCTGCAAATCGATTTATACTAACAATGTTTTCCACCGACATTATCCACATGAGAACCCAATTATGTATATCATTCCCTGTCTACTTCCTTTGTACCAATGGGTACCATATTATCCAAGTCCTTATATACTTCCCGAACCTTGTTCCTATCCCCTTTCATTTACTTTAACTAACCTGTCAAACCAAAATTTCATTTCATGAGTTAACGCATTTCTTAGGCCTTCAAGCCTAAGCATACCATGACAAGAGGATCTACAGTACATGGTGTTGTTTCAACTCAACTTTCAAACTCTTGTTGGGTCCGAATTATCTCGTCACTTGTAACTTGATTCTTTCCAGCTGTCTACCCCTTAAAAGAAATGAAGAAATTTCTTTTAAGGTTAAATCATAAGATGATCATCATCATGTAGCAAGATGTTTCGTTTATTTCTTCACGGGAACTCGTTGCCTCACATTTACTCCTTATGGGCCTCGAATTCCACCTTTGCCTTTCATCATTGATCACATGTAGTATTTTATCATAATTTCATCATTCATGTGTCCTTCAACATTGTTGTTCGAGTACTCGACTTTTCCTTTCAACACTTCGTCGGTTTAATTTCTCAAGTATCATCATACTTTACTTCTTTCTATTTCTTGTCTCTTCATTATAAATGAACACCCAACTTTTGTATCAGTTGATTTCTGCGTCCTTTGATTATAGTCGAGTGACCCATAATGCTTTGAGTCAAAGTCATATCTTTTATACGAACTCATAACAGAAGATCTCATTATTATAAATCTACCCAATCTTTGTCTGGTTGTCGAATCCAGATTAGCAACAACACTCAAACCTAGTACTAAATTGTACTTGAGTGTGCTTGTTCTGCATCATTAGGTTGCATAACTTGGAAGCTCTAAATCTCGTATCCTTGGTTTGTTCGTATCACTCATAATTCAAAGCATCACGTGTTGTTCTTGCTCAGTCTCCAGAGTGTTGCGAGGTCTTGTAATATCGCATCATCACACTTCCGTATCCTTCTTACCATCTACCCCTAAAAGAAATGTGGGAATTTCTTTTAAGGTCCAAATCACCCTATGATTCTCACACGAAAATAGTTCGTCTCCCTGACTCATTCATGGAAATTTCAAAATTTTCCTTTACTCATCATCATCTTCTTGACGATCCTTTTTAACAAACTTCAAGTGTTTATTATTATCCACAACCTGTTAGTACTACAAGATCTTTGATACTTAATTTTCATTCTTTGATATTCCATCATGTGAAATCGTCTTCCCCCTTGATCGATTATATGACATCTTCCAGATACTGCTCCTTCATTGTCAAGTTATCACATCTTAAAGTCTTATTCCTTCTGACGCCCTCATCCCTTTCTCCTTGAAATCTTAACTTTTCATCACAAATCACAAAACTTGTAAATAGGGCTTACAAACTTCCTCCCCTTAAACTGTTCATCACCCTAGGGTAAGGTACTCTTATGGACTTATCATCTTCACTTTATAGTTTCCATTATTTGTACGATTCAAGAAGTCTTCATATTGTTTGTCTTCTTTTAGGCTCAAGAAATACCTTCAGGTATCTCACACTACTCTTTTTTCCTTCTAGTGACTTCACTCACCAATCTGGTGTATTAGGTTAATGCACAATTGTTCGTATTTTACTAGTGTCTTTGTTTCATAAGGGCACCCTTCTTCCACAACTACCATCACCATCAACACCTAATATTGTTTTCATCTGGTAGCCAACTCCTTAGGATCCCAAAAGATCTCATTGAGTCAACAATATCACGCTCTTTTCCAAGCTATCTCGGACGCACTTTTTTGTACTATATTGCTTTCATCATCATATCATAATTTCGTCAATTAGGTCATTGGCTTACCTTCTAGTGTCATCAATCACATCAGAGTATTTCTTTCATCTAAGTATGGAATTCAAGATTCCATTCCATTCTTTTCTCAATCAACTTGCTTGTAATTTAAAGTTACCATTTCTATGTAGTAACATAGGCTTGTCCCAAATAACCAAATTCAATTATTTTTATTTATCATAAGCATGGAATTCCAATTCTTATCCCATTTTAGACTTTTACCAAAATTCGATTATGTCCCTTTTTAGCTAATTGATTGTTAACAAATTAAATAGCTCAAGTCACTTCATTCTTTGGTGTTTCTAACTCACTACCAATGGTACTTAAAGGGTATAAACTCAATTTCAAACATATATCAAATGTATACCAAGTAATTTTCATTTTTATACTAGCTATTTGACTTTGACAGAAAAGTCAAAGATGTGAAAATTTTACATTGTCCATCAATATTCTTTAAACACCTTCATAACTCTTATTTGACACAATGTATGTATTCAATAAATCCCTTACTCACCCGAATCCTTACCACATTTCATAAAACCCTTTCATGGTTCCACCGAGTTTGGGTATATATCATGTGTTTATAATAGTACATGCCCTATACTATTATACCCACATCATACATATCATACCTTGACTTCAACACTTAGGAGATTTTGATTCATTGGTGTAGATTTTCCATTAATCACTCTAGAAGCACACAATGTAGCATTCAACAAGTTTGTATAACTTATCTAAAGTTTCAAAACCATCTAATAGATGTAGTGCCTAGTTCAGGCACATTTTTGTCCAAACCCGCAAAATTCTAATACACACACATAAACATGGTCTAAAAAACAATGAAAAAAACAAAACATGAAGCTTACCAAAGGAAATCAGATGTGATGTTTCCGAACACCCATACTACGAAAACCCTTAGTTAACATTCACTTGAGTTAGACAATGAAATGCAGAGCTTCAATGTCTTTTACAACAAATACAAATCGGAATTATAATCATAAAAGAATGATATTACAGTCACCTGAGTTAGATACAATAACATTCTTCAGACACATCAAAACCCATAAGCTCTACTTATTTCTTCTTAGTTGCGTTGTGAATATCCGAAAATCAGTCTTTTTATCATCTTAAATAAATGAAAAGGAGAAAAAAACATTGAAATCAGTATATCCCAACCTTCAATGCATCAGAACTTCACAATTTTATTCTTAAGATAGTAATGGAGATGATTCAATGAAAAAAAAATAAGAAAAACTTACAAATGAGAGTGTTCCTTCCTTTTATGCATCATAAAATTGGGATAGTACCGATTTGGTTCGTTTGGGGTATTGAAAAATTGTTTATTCTATGCATTTAGTTAATAGCATAAATCCATAAAGATAAAGGGAAATAGATGGTGGCGGTAAACAGGTGGTGGTAGCGATTGACAACCTAGAGACCGCACCAAAATCTCAATTCAATCCGTAATCGATGGTGATTGACAAACCAGACAATCAAACGTAGAATATTTTTGAAATCGAATGGTGATAACTTCTTTGTATTTGAGGGTTGGAACAAATATTCCAAGTTATACTCATCAAGAACTAAACAATGGAAGAAGAAAGAAAATTTAAGTCCATGGGAAGAGCATAATAATCGCATACACCACCATCTTTGTTAAGAAAAAATCCAGAAAACCTCCATCTTTGTAAAGAAAAAATCTAGCAAATTAACCTGCTATTAGGGTTATAAAGCTTCAGCCTTATAGAAAAAACATGATTTCAAAATAAAATTAAATTCCTCGTTCTATTGTAAAGCTATCATTGATTTCGGAAGAAAAGTAGAGAGGAATCGAAGGTTTCATCATATGAAGAAAAGTAGAGAGGAATCGAAGGTTTCATCATATGAAGGATTTGAAAATATTTTAAATTGGTTTCAAG